AAGGAATGTGTGAGATATTTTTGTAATGTAACTATTGTTCAGAATAATTCCTTTTGAAAGAACCGTGCCTAAAATATCTTGTCTCCCACAATGCTTACCAGCCTTTTAACACAGGGCAGAAGTTCAGCAGATACTTGCTGAGTGATTCAGTATATTGCTTTCAGAGCCTATGGCAATTCCTTTCAATATTTTTTAATGGTGGCCCATATCCACCCTTGAAGGGTAAGTTTAATTTTTGAAAACAGTAAAAAGGCATTAGAAGTGAAATTTGATGAACAAGGACATACACGAGGCAATAAATTTTGGCTTATAGAAGATTTAAAATGGTAGTGAGATAATGTCTGTAATCGTTTAGCCCTGAATCTGGCCCAGGGTAAATGCCCACTCAGTTGTAGGTATTGTTATTATAAACTGAATCTGAGGGCAAACTGTCAAAAAGGAGTTAATTAAGGGTAACATTGTAAGGATAAAAGTATAGTGATTCTTTTAAAAGTAACAAACTCATTTGGATATGTGGATATTCTGGGGTGGTGCATTTGTTAAAATCGTTCTTAACACCTAGTGGTACTATCAAAATTATATCTCATTTTTTCAGAACCTTGACTACGGGGGTAACTACCTACCATAGAAGTTGACTACACATTTTTGTTATAAAGCAATGAATGCAAAATCCTCAAGATTACAGGCTTATCCTACAGGAATATGTCTCTCTTAAATACAGATTTAAAATCCTTTTCCCATTCAGGTGTTCTGTGGGGGCCCTTCAGTTGGCTGAGCTCTCCACACATTCTGGTGATGTGCTAATATTAGCAATCTGACTTTACTTCCAAAAGAGAGAATACCGAAGAAAAAAAATAGAAATTGGGACATTGTCCAGGAAACTCAGATTACAATGTGTATGCTATTATTAGAGTGCTTTAAAATTGTGAAAATGAAGCAAAACCTTTAGCAAACGTTATTCCCGGAGTAAATGAATTACTATACATTTGGTGAATAAGAAAAAAAAAACACAAAAAAACACCACCTGGTATCCCTCAGTGAGGCTGACATTTTCTGTCAAGGCTGCTGAATGTCTCCGCTGTTGTTTCACTTTCCTTTGTGTAGACTTCTTCATAATTTTAGTCTCTGAAATGTACTCTACATCAGAGTCTGTCCCTTCTGTGTTTCTTTTACAGCCTCTGCAGCTGACCGGAACTTCAAAGGATGCAGGCGACTCATGCTTCAAGTTATTACCCGAAGGCCTGATTTTCTGGGTTTTTGTATTTTCCTTAAATAACAAAGAACATGTTTTTATTTTTTTGGTAGACAGCTTATTTATAATTAATCATCACGTCCCTCAACACCTTATGACATTAGGTGGTATTTATTACTAATAAAAACCTTAAAAAGCAGAAGCTTAGAAACAGACTTCAGCAAATGGATACCACTATAATGGCTCATTCAGGGTCTGATTCAGCAGAGCTGGGCTTAGTTACAAATCTAACTTCGAGGATGCGGGAGCCCAAAATGAGAACAGCGTGCTTCCTGATTTTCTCCCAACAGAGATTTCACTTGCCTTTGGCTCCCTGGTGTGTATCTATCAGTAATCTATTTATTATATCTAAAAGTTGGCTGGGTTTATCAGTCCTATCATCTGCCTGTTAAGAAATGTGAATAACTAAAATTGTAGTTTTCCATAATTTTTGTGTGATTGGTGTAACTGTAAAGCTTTATCTAGAGATACAAAAATATTCCCTCTACACTTTAAATTTTAAATACTAACAGACATTTGAGGAATATAATCTAATATGACACATAGCAAACACAA